AGACAGCTGACAAAGGACACATATCTAGAAAATACAAAAAGCAGAAAACTTAAGTAAGAACATAGAAAAACTCAACAGGCAAGCTTCTGAATAAATAGTTCACAAAAGATACACGTGTGTGATGAGCACTTGGGAAGATACCAAACATCACCTGGCTTTCAGGGACATAAAACTCAACACCACAGGAAGCTACTGCTCACATCCACTCCAACGGCGATGACCAAGACGACAGACAATGACAAGTGTTGACAGAGACGTACACAAACTGTGCCTCTCAAACTGCTGTTCAGAATGTAACGCACACTGGAAAATGACTTGAGAGTTTCTTAAAATGTTCAACCGGGGCAGGCCTTTAGCCTGGCAGCTAAGATGTGAGGGCCTGGGTTCAATTCCTGGCCGTGTTCCTCCTAGTGCAGATCCTGGAAGGCAACAAAGCCAGGTATGACTCCCGCATGGCCAACCCAGACCGCATTCCTGGCTTCAGGCACGGGCCCACCAGTCCCACAGGTTTAGAGGCATTTCAACAATGAACGAGCAGATGGATCTACCTCTCTGTGCTCATTCCCCAAACTATGTAAAATGTTACACCCGGCTGTAACTTAGGACCAGCATCCTCCTAAAGGAATGAAAAAAAAAAAAACCCATACAAAAAGTAGGATGCAACAATTCGAAGCATTTTTCATAGCAGACCAAGAGCAGACCCAACACAAACATCTAGCAACTGGGGACTTAGATAACCAAAACATGTGTCCTGACACTGCAATACTACCCAATGGGGGAAAAGGGAAAAAAGTACTGACATAAGTCTCAGCATGGATGAACATTAAAAACATTACACCAGGTGAAAGAAGCCAAACACGAAAACCCACATATCTTATGATTCCACTGTGTCCTGAGCCGTTCCGCGGATGCTTAAAGCCACAGACAGGACCCAGCTCTAAAACACACTATACTTTCTTCTTATACTGATACACCTGCTAAAAAAAAAAATGTATAGTCTGGACAAAGCAAAAAATTAACAATAGGGCCCGGCGGCGTGGCCTAGAAGCTAAAGTCCTCGCCTTGATCGCGCCAGAATCCCATATGGGTGCCGGTTCTAATCCCAGCAGCTCCACTTCCCATCCAGCTCCCTGCTTGTAGCCTGGGACAGCAGTCGAGGACGGCCCAACCTTGGGACCCTGCACCCATGTGGGATGTCCGGAAGAAGTTCCTGAATCCTGGCTTCGGATCGGCATAGCATCGGCCATTGCGCTCACTTGGGGAGTGAATCATCGGACAAAAGATCTTCCTCTCTGTCTCTCCTCCTCTCTGTATATCTAACTTTCCAATAAATAAATAAATATTTTTAAAAAATTAACCACAATAACGACTAGTAATAACATTAACAATAGAACAAGGGCCTGGCGCCAAGAACTAGTGGCTAAAGGTCTCATCTTGAACACACCAGGATCCCATACGAGCACCGGTTCTAATTCTGGGCGCTCCACTTCCCATCTAGCTCTCTATTTGTGGCCTGGGAAAGCAGTTGAGGTCGGCCCAAAGCCTTGGGACCCTGCACCCACACTTCTGGGAGACTCAGAAGAGGCTCCTGGCTCCTGTCTTCAGATCGATTCAGCACTGCCCATTGTGGTCACTTGGGCAGTGAATCAACGGACAGAAGATCTTCCTCTCTGTCTCTCCTCCTCTATGTACTTCTGACTTTGCAATAAAAATAAATCTTAAAAAAAAAAACAATAGAACAAAAACAATATGCTGTAGTAAAAGTTACTTACAATTTATGAATTACTTATTCCTAGAAATCTCCATACTATTTTCAAACGACAATTAATGAAACCCATGAATAAGGCAGTACTACTACTGTGTACGAAAGAGTCCCAAAAAAGGCAAATGTAGCAAATGCAAGGTAAATGAGTAGTTACCTACGAATGAGGGGAAAATGGAAAACAATTGCAAGTGAACAAAAGGATTATTTCAGGCATGATGGAAATGTTCCAAAATAAGATTGTGATGGCTACAAAACTCTACATACATTATTACCACTGATTTATACACATTGACGGCTCAATAAAGCTTTTTTTCTTTTTTTAAAGAAAGAAAGGAAGGGGACAGACAATGAAAGATGACCCAAGTGCTTAGGCCCCTGGCACCCATGTCAGAGACAAGGATAAAGCTTCAGCCAGACCCATCCCTGGTTATTTTGGGGGCTTGCAACTGTGTGTGTGCATGTGTATGTGTGTGTCCTCTTTCTGTAACTCTGCCTTTCGAATAAATCAATAAATCCTTGAAAAATAAAATAGGGGCACGGGGCAATAGCCTACTGGCTAAATTTTTGCATTGCATCCACTGGGATCCCATATGGGCACCAGTTCCTTTTCTGGCTGTTCCACTTCCATCCAGCTCTCTCTCTATGGCCTAGGAAAGCAGTCATGGGTAGCCCAAAGCCTGGGGACTTTGCACCCATGTGGGAGACCTCGAACAGACTCCTGGCTTCGAATCAGCTCAGTTCTGGCCATGGCAGCCATTTGGGGAGTAAACCAGCTGACGAAAGATCTTTCTCTCTGTTTCTCCTTCTCTCTGTAAATCTGCCTTTTCAATAAAGATAAATCTTTTAAAAACAATCACATACACAGAAAAAACTTTCAAGCCAACAGAACGACAAACTACAATTCAACATGTTACAGAAGCAGAAAATGGGGGGAGCTCCTTTGCAGTAGAAATGCTAAAAAGAATTTTAAAAAAATTACAATCTCAGGGTCAGGCAAATAACAGATGCTTCATTCATTTTTACAGAGTACATCAAGTTGCACTTTAAATCCACCTGAAAGATGACCAAGGCATCATGGCATGGCAGTGCGGGACACTGAACTGTTTCTTTGTACTGGGCAGCCTGAACCTGAGGGCCTCCTCAGCGCATGTCCATCCACAGCTTGTAACCATTTGTAGCCATCTGTCCAGCTTACAAGCAGACTCAACAGCAAAGCTTCAAGTCCTGAAGCTGCCACAACCCTACTACATCACAGACATGGTCTGTTGAAAATCACTAGGTGGATTGCCCTAAAACAGACTCACTCAGCAAGCCTCAGGTCTGTAAGTGCAAGAACTGTGTCCTTTATTCACCACTGATCCTTACTGCCAACATTGGCCTGCATAACATGTGCCAAGGCCCTGGGGCCAGTGCAAATGCAAGGAAAGCCTCCTAAAAAGGCCAGAGTGAGAGAAGGCAGAGAAGGCAGTAGTAGATGCAAGCAGGTTGTGGAAGTGCTTGGGGTCCAGATCATGCAGCAGCCTGGAGGCCAGGTGAAGTTCATCTTTACCCTAAGAGCACCTGAAGGCTGGGGAAGACTGAAACAGGTGGCTGCCAGAGCAGGGAGGGAGGCCAAGAACACAGCCAGGTGTGAATTCTGGAAACACCACATTCCGCAGCAGAGGACGCTGCTTGTGCGGTTACAGGGAGAAAAGGAACCCAGGAGTCAAGTTGGATCATCAAGTGAGTGCACTCAGGGGACTGCGTTGTGGTGCAGGGGGCTACTCCTCCACTTGCAACACTGACAGCCCAGAGCACCATGGGAGGTCTTGATGCTCCACTTTCAATTCAGTTCCCTGCTCAAGTCCCTGAAAAAGCAGCTCAGGGCTCTGCCACCACCTAGGACCTGGATGGAGTTCCAGGCTCCCACTGTGGCCCGGCCCAGCCTCAGCCACCGCCATCTCCTGGAAAGTGAACTACTGGATGCAAAAGTTATCTCCCGCCTCCTCCCCCCTCCCCCCACTCTCTCTCTCTCCTTCGTCTTTCAAATAAATACATGTATCTTAATAAAAATAAAGTGTAGTCCGTTAAGAAGGCTATTCCAACAGCCCATTAAAGAGAGAAAGACAGCCTGGCCCATCACAGCGGAGATGAAAAGCAAAGGCAAGGACTTCCACATATAACAAGACACATCTACAAGATCTGATTTTGAGAGGGAAGGAAAAAGGAAACGCTTGGACTCCTTTGCAAAACACAGCAGCGGGATACAACAACCACCATGTTGCAATCATCAACTGTGACCATACTAAATGACACAAAGACGCACCTAACACAGCGTCTGTCACACAACCAATGCTTTTAGCACATCGCTATGGCCAGGATCCCAGGAACCGCTCTCTGGACAGTTTGCTACAGTATCTGTCCTCCCACCGAACGGCTGGAGAAGAAAAAGGGCACATTACACCCCCAGAGCTCCAGCTGGCCACTGAGACAACTGTTCCAAATCCACACATCTGACCGCACAGATACTCATTTCACGGCAGCAGATCTCAGCCCCGCACACCAGGAGGCAATGAAAGGCCCAGCCATTGGAGAATCCGGTAAACTGAGGCACCACGGTGGCTACAAATTGAACCAAGCAGTGGGTGCAGAAGCAGCAAGAGGACACGGGTGTCTCGGGTTCCGGTTTTTGACCGTCCCTGCTGGACTCGGCCTGCAGCCCAGGCTTGGCGAGTTTATAACTGCCCCCTCCCATGCCTTCCAGGTCACCTGCATACAAGGCCCTGTCACCCCCTGGCTTCACATCGTGCACCCTGCCGCCATCTAACCAACGTCTTTCGCTGCCCTGGCTGTAGCTTCCAGCGCACGAAGACCCCCAGGCTGTGGAGCGACCGAAATACCTTAGCTTCGCGCTCGCTTTCCTCCGCGGTCGGAGTGCGCTTCATGCTGCCACCAAAGCCGCCTTCGCCACCGCGAGCCGCGCAGCCCTCTCGTTCCGGACCCCGCCTCCTGCTTGTAGTTCTCCCACAATCCTGCTCCCGCCTGCCGCCGTGCGTCCTTGGAGTCCAGAGAACTACATCTTCCAGGATGCACCGCGGCGACGCCCAAGAGCACCTCGGGGTTTAAAGCAGGAGCATTTCCCAGGTCCCAGCGTAGTCCGCGGCGCAGTAAGCAGAAGGCCTGGAGCGCAGGAAGAACTACACTTCCCAGGGGGCAACATAGCCGGCCATGTTTTTCCCGTGCTCCTCTCGGCCAGGCGCTGGACACGCCGTGGGCGCTATAGCAACGGTAGCTAGCGGCGGTGCGAGCGGCGGTGAGTACCCCGGGACAGGACTGGGGTGGCCGGCGGTTGGCGGGCCCTCCTCTGCGGCACGGGCTGCCGTTCCGAGGCCGGCCGTGCGGCCTGCGGAAGCCCCTGGACCCGCGCTCTCATGAAAAGCACCGCCACATCCGAGGGCCTGAATCACAGCCCGCCGTTTTACCCCACGCCCAGGAGCGATTTGAAATTTTATATCCCAACCAGCCTGAGCGGCTGGAACCCGTACCCGAGAATCGCTGTCCCTGTGCACTTCCTTCAGGTGTTTGTCCTGACTGACTGACCCTTTGTGGGCCTCGTAAATTAGCATTGTTTATCCTCCCCACCCCCAAGGGCTGAAGCCGAGTTGACTATTCTAGTCTCAGAGCCTGGAGTTGACTTTATCACTCAGTGAACATTAGCTTCACTGCCCACCGCGAACCCGGCCGCGTTCCTCCTCCAGTCTCCTTAGTGGAGGCGGGAAGTACTAAGCCCGTAATGTGATTTCCGAGAGAGGCGAAGTCTGGGAAAGGAATACGCGTGAAGAATGGCAGCGAGCTGCATAGCGTGGCCAGGGAAAGCCTCTCTGGAAAAATTGACATTTGAGAATGTTAGAGTCCGGGCTAAAGCCCCCGGATGTCGGGGTGCAAGCTAGTCAACGACGGAGAGTCTCGCTGCTAATGCAAACAACAGAGTTTATTGTGCCAGCATGCAGGGGCCAGACTGCATGTGGGGCACACAGGCCAGTCAAGCCGCAGACCGACCCTGAACTAGCCCAAGACAGAAGATTATATAGGCCCTTTTGGGCTGGGAAATACATCAAAAGTAACAACCTTAGACGTGTTCATTTTTATGGCCTTCAGGCACAGGCAGTCTGTTCGGTTCCCATACCCATTATCTTTATGGCACATCCCATTCTCACACCCTTATCTTCTTCCTGTTCCTGGGACCGGAGACGAGCTGTGCCCTTGCCCCCCTGCACCTGGGTTAGTCCCAAGGTTGCAGGGCAGCAAAGAACAGATTGATTGCTAAAGCGGAATCCTCCCAAAGTCCAGGTGCCTCCTGGCCTAGCAAAGAAGCAGTAACTCAGCACAAAGGAATCTCACACTGCCCAAAAAACATTCCGTTCTAGAATTCTAATATACTATCATTCTAACATAGCAGTTTGATTATTCTAACATTTACCTACACGAACAAGCTAAGAGGCCAGCTAATAGGGGCAGCACGAGGCTGAAGGGGAGGTTGGAGGAAGAGCCATAAGAACGAAGTGAGGAGGGATGGCGTGGGTTGGTGACAGAAAAGCACTGCTCCCTGTCCCCAGCCACTTACCGTCCACCCTGGTGGCAGCTGGGGCCAGATGCCTCCCTGTTGTGGGTCTTGGAAGCCATAGCTGGTTTATCCTCATCCCTGACCGCTACCCAGTAGGTGCCAATGACACCTCCTCTTGCCCGGTTGGAACAGACAACCCATAGCTGGGTGTGTGGCCTCAGTACAGCTAATCTGTCACTCACCTTTCTCCTTGGCCAAGTAGCATTCACAAGAATGTGGTCAAATGTTTCTTTCATATTCACGTGGAACACCATGCCTAGCGCATACTGAAGCAGCCAGTCAATGTTAGCGCCATCATCACCACTACTGTTATCCTCACGTGCAGAAGTAATCCTGTTCACAGGTGGACAGGGTCAGAACTTCTTAACTTGCAACCTCCAATGGACCCTTCCGGCAACCAAGAGTCTTTTAGCAGTTTTCATCACAGGAAAATAGAGTGGTTGTCAATCTTCTTTGAGTCACAGTAAAAGTTCGGGGCCCCCTCTCTTCCTCACAGTGCATATCCACAGATGCACACCAAATTTTGGAAGCCATCTCTGAGTTGGCAAGCCCTGTGGTACAAGGGCACTCACTGGCTCATTCAACGGCCGTCTGTCTGACTTAGCCCATGCTTGCTCTGTGCCAGTCTGGAGGATTATCAAGGCAAAGCGGGGTTGCTCCCTTCCTTGCCATCCACATTCTAGAACTAACATTCTAGAGCTTGAGACCCTTGGCTTAGGGTATTTGCATGTGTCTTTCTAGGCAGATCAAAATCCTGGGGTTTGGTTTGATGTGGTTATACACTTGACCCAGTCACATCGACATGCAGGAATAAAATTGCTATAGTGTAACTATCTAACAACAGAAACTAACTGTGCCACCAGGAAGTGCACAGCCTGCGTGTTAAGGTGGTTCAACCCACGGGCCTCGTGAGGCCTCAGTGGCAGCAAAGGCCGCCGTTCCGAGCAGCCCCCACCCAGTTGGCGTATCTGTGAAAGCTCTTCCACAAAGCAGAAAAGCGATACTTGGGTAACACTGACGTCTCAGGCATATGTGCAAAAACTTTGGGAGCGAGCCCCTTACCTTCAGCACTACAGATCCCTCCCATTCACACTTGGTGAGCTGAAACCCACAGGGGGTGAGCGTCTTGACCCGCTGGGAAGGGGTGGGACGAGCATTTGAATGAATTAAAGTTGCTGGCCTGAGTGTTTTCTGGAGAGGGGATATTTCTTAACTTTGAGGTGCATCACTGGTGTTTGTCACGCCGCTCCCCCACAGATAGAAGAGTAAGAAGATGGAAGGCAAAATGATAATCTTACCTCATTTCCTAAGCAAATTCCAGGAAATAAACTGTTGAAAGGAGGACCGTCTCCGTGATTGAGCGTAGTATAACTTTAGAATGGAAGCTTTCATCTTCTTCAGCCAGCCACATGTGGGCAATAAGATGTCCATTAAAGTGCTAGTCCCTTATTGGTTTTATATGGTACATTCCAGGGCATAGTTAATGGAATATCTTGGAAAGAGTTTATTTGAATTTCTCTTCTCTCCACAGATCGACCATGTCTGGTCCCACTGATGAGACCGCTGGAGATCTGCCCGTGAAAGACACGGGCCTAGGCCTCCATAGGATGGAGGGCTTCCAGGGTAAGACCAGCTGTTCCGCATTACACATAGGCACTCACATCAGTAATTTCTGTACTTTTAATTTTTAAATATTTCTGATATTCATAGAAACCGAGCCTTTTCGGTAACTGTGTAGCTCTCCGATTGGACTAAAACAAGAAGATGGAGACTGCAGAACACATATGATATTTTACTGCATGCGTCACTTCTCAACAGCTCATAGCCCATGTAAAACCCCCCCTCTGTCATGATCCAGGATTGTTCCACATCTCTTGAAAATTCCACACGTCCATAGAAACGACAAGAGTATCGAGCCACTTCCACGCAAAAATGCTGATTGAAGTCACGTTCCCCATGAAAACATTTCCTCATATTGAAACTCAATATGCACTTTGTTATGAAGAAAGCATTACTTGAAGAATGCAGAGCTGTGTTTGTGTTTCTGTACGTGCGGGTGTCAGCCGTGCTCTCCGGCCGCTGCATCTGCTAGTGAGCTTAATTCACTAAGAAAGCTTTCTTTGCCTTCTAGTCAGTACCGTATAATGAGCCGCCTTTATCTCACAGAAATGGCCAATGAACGTACTCCTCATTGAAAGGAGATAAATTTGACTACACACACTTTATTGGTAAAAGTGAGAAGTACACATGAGCTTTGCTTTTAATCTTGGAGGTTTTGGTCTAACTTCAATTACTGTTCTCACTAACCCACAAGAAGAGGTTAATCTCTGTCACTTTGTTCTCTTTCTATTGGAGGATTAGTGGAAATGGAATTACCTTCCGGTGACATGCACAGTGCCAAGTCTAAGATACCTGACGTTCATTCTAAATCATGTACAAGTTCTTTAAAATGATCTGTGATAGGGCCCAGCACGGTACGCTAGTGGCAAAAGTCCTTCTTTTGAATGCACTGGGATCCTATGTGGGTGCTGGTTGTAATCCTGGAGGCCCCGGTTCCCATCCAGCTCCTTACTTATGGTTTGAGAAAGCAGTCAAGGAAGGCCCCAAGCCTTGGGACCGTACACCTGCACGGGAGACCCAGAAGAAGCTGCTGGCTCCTGTCTTCAGATTGACTCAGCTCCAGCCATTGCGGCCACTTGGAAAGCAAATCAACAGATGGAAGATCCTCCTCTCTAGCTCTCTTTCTCTCGGTATATCTCACTTTCAAAAATAAATAAATAAATCATTTCAATATATGTGTGTGTGATATCTTACTGAGAAATGGTGCTTCAACTTTTAATGGCTATTAAAATTTTGAGAACCATTTTCTTGTAGGTGTTGTAGGGTTTTTTTACTGTATTACTTTTTTTTTCTTTTTTTGAAAAGGCAGATATACAGAGAGAAGGAGATAAGGAGAGAAAGATCTTCTATCTGCAGTTTCCCTCCCCAAGTGGCCGCAATGGCCAGAACTAGGGTGATTGGAACGCAGGAATTTCTTCCAGGTCTCCCACATGGGTACAGGGTCTCAAGGCTTTGCACCACCCTCCACTGCTTTCCAGGGCCACAGGTAGGGAGCTGCAAGGGAGGTGGAGCATCCAGGATATGAATTGGCACCCATATGGAATGCTGGTGTATCCAAGGCGAGTATTTAGCCACTAGGCTATTGCGCCAAATCACTTAATCATGTTGTTTTAGGGTTTTTTTTCTTTTTTTTTTAAAGAACAACTGTTGCTTTTGTTTAAAACAAGATATTCTGGTTTGTAATTTAGTTTTTACAATATTTATCATAAAAATTAAAGTCTTGGGCCTAGTGTGGTAGCCTAGTGGCTAAAGTCCTCATCTGGCACAAGCCGGGATCCCATATGGACACTGATTCTAATCCCAGCAGCTCCACTTCCCATCCAGCTCCCTGCCTGTGGCCTGGGAAAGCAGTCAAGGATGGCCCAAAGCTTTGGGACCCTGCACCCATGTGGGAGACCCAGAAGAAGCTTCTGGCTCCTGTCTTCAGATTGGTGCAGCTCCAGCCATTGCAGCCACTTGGGGAGTGAATCATCGGACGGAAGATCTTCCTCTCTGTCTCCCTTCCTCTCTGAATATCTGAATTTCTTAACAGAAATAAAATAAAAAGCTTTTTTTTAAAAAAAAAAAAAAGATGCAGGCAAGACCAGCTTACTCAAAAAAATCAAAGGCTTCACAGAATCAGTGTAACTAAAGACTACTTTAGTGGATGGTTGTTCAAATGCCTGGCGTTGTACGAGTATCAATAGCAGAGCATATGAAGTACAAACAGGAAAGATTTTACTTCTCACTGACGCCCCGACAGTTTCTAAAGCAGCCTTAGTTGTGCATCACCAAGCAGGGCAGGCGGAAAGACTGCTTCAGAAACCATAGTGCTCATCATCCTCCATTATTTTTACAACTATTCTAATTAATCCCATTCTAATCACCTTAACATTTTTTCAGAAACTTCCACAACACGAGCGATGAGATCTCGGCAGGCAGTGGCACGGGTCAGTCGGGAGGAGCTGGAAGACAGATTCCTGCGTCTGCGCGATGAGAACATTTTACTTAAACAGCATGCCCGCAAGCAAGAGGATAAAATCAAAAGGTTATGATAAAAAGCTTTTTGCTTTTCTTTTTTTTTTTTTTACTTGAGTCTGCAAAGTTTGATGAATATGTTTTGGTTTTTCTTGATAAGAACCCCACCTAGAATCTTTTTGGAACAAGTCAGATTGAAAACAAACAGTTTTTAAAAATGGAAAATCTTGCAAATGAGAAGAATAAGCAGAAAATAATGAATGTTTATTGTGTCTGAAGTTGCTTTTGGAAAGAAAAGTGATAACAAAAAAAGAGTACCATGAGTGTATCAATGCTATAAATAACTTTTGGTATGCAGTAGTTATGGTTTAATGAAAATGGCCAACAGTTTTTCAAGTGTTTTGATTTGCAGTGAAATATTTTGAAAGTAGTTAACTGTTCTGACTCGTTAGACTGTATGTTCCCTAAGATTTGGGGTTTATGAATTTCAGTATCAGTCACTGGAACTTACCTAACTTTGCTCTGGTTAGCCTAGATTCTGTATTTCAAAGACTGTGCTGTTTTGAAGAAATATATTGTTGCTTTGGATTTATATTTAAAACCGTTGTTCAAGAATGATTTCTTGGGACTACGTAGTCTTCTCTTGGTTGTCTGTCTAGTTTTTTGGTTTTTGTTTTGTTTTGTTTGACAAATTTATTTGAAAGGCAGAGTTACAGAGAGAGAGAGAGATGGTGAGAGATCTTCCATCCACTGTTTCACTCACCTAAGACTATGCCAGGCCAAAGCCAGGACCCCAGAGCTTCTGGTTCTCCCACATGAGAACAGGACCACAGGAGCTGGGCCATCATCCACTGCTTTCCCAGGCACATTAGCAGGAAGCTGGCTGAGAAGTGGAGCAGCTGGGACTCGAACCAGTGCCCAAATGGGATGCCAGCAGCTGCTTTACCTTCTGTGCCACAGCACTAGCTCCTGTGCCTATCATTTGCACATATGTTATTAAAAACAAATAAGCACAGTCACATTTGTTGTATGAATATGTGAAGAATATTCATACTCTTGGCTTCAGAAAAGGTGAGACAGACATTGAAGAAAGAAGATAAGCTTTGTTCCATGTTAAAATTTGTCCTAGGACCCAACACAGTAGCCTAACAGCTAAAGTACTAACCTTGGACGAGCCAGAATCCCACAAGAGCACCAATTCTAGTTCTGGCGGCCCTGCTTCCCATCTAACTCCTGGCCTGTGGCCTGGGAAAGCAATCAAGGGTGGCCCAAAGTCTTGGGTTCCTGCACTCGCATGGGAGACCCAGAAGAGGCTTCGAATCTTCTAATCGGCTTGGCTCCAGCCATTGGAGCCACTTGGGGAGTGATTCATCAGACGAAAGTTCTTTCTTTCTGTCTCTCCTCCTGTCTGTATATCTGACTTTCCAATAAAAATAAAATCTTTTTTTTTTAAAGATTTATTTTTACTATTATTATTTTTTTATTGGAAAGGCGGATATACAGAGAGGAGAGACAGAGAGGAAGATCTTCCGTCCGATGATTCACTCCCCAAGTGAGCGCAACGGGGCCGATACTATGCCGATCCAAAGCCAGGAGCCTCTTCCGGGTCTCCCACACAGGTGCAGGGTCCCAAAGCTTTGGGCCGACCTCGACTGCTTTCCCGGGCCACAGGCAGGGAGCTGGAAGGGAAGTGGGGCTGCCGGGAATAGAACCGGCGCCCATATGGGATCCCGGGCGTGCAAGGCGAGGACCTTTAACCACTTGCGCCACCGCGCCGGGCCCAAAAATAAAATCTTTTAAAAAAATTTATCCTAAAGAAGTGATTCAGGCAGTTACTATTGTGTGAGTTTTGCTGAAGCAGTCCCAGAAGTGCTGGGCACAGGCCTCTTGCCTTGAGTTAGCTATTTTCAAGATGTGCACACTTGCCCGTTTTCCTCTCCCTGACCAGTGGCACACATCTGCCAACCTAGGAAGGCACGGACCCGTTAAATAGTAACCTAATTGGTCAATAAAAGAATTACATTCGTAGCTTTTACCTCATTAGTAGTAGTGTCCTAGCCAGAAAACTGAGAAACAACTTGGTGATGAACCATATAGTGGGAAAAGTAGTGGTTGAGGAATCAAGTTATATGTGTGTGTCCTGTTATCCATCATACCAGTAGGCTGTGGGCTGTGTAAACCATTTAACACCCTGGGATTTTATTTTACTCAGCTGTATGAGAAGTCATCAGGTGAATGTTATGAACCAAATCCCTAAATTCCTTCTGAGTCTCACACTTGAACAGCGATCTAGTCCAGCTTCACTTTAAACTCATGCTTAAGGGATACTTGGTGTCACATCTTTTAGTGTAAATGTAGATTGTTTTATAAAGCACATTTCAAAACTTTAGGAGATCAAACTTAGGAAAGCACTGAACGATTCATTAGAATCACAAAATGGATGGAAAATTTTGCTTTTACTGGACAGGTACAAACATGGCATTTCTTGATGAAGCTTGCCTGAATGTTATTTTACGTAGTCTAAAGACTATAAATGCGCTTTGTTTGCCTTAGGCATTGGGCTCGTTTGTTTTTCTTACATGATGACTGCTTTCCGTATGAAATCTATCTGGTGATTGTAATCTCTATTTCCAAGTGCAAGTCTCTCTGTGGCAGAACATTGAGGTTAACAATTGGAAACTCATCTAGCTGACTGCTACATTTGTGCATGAACCCTGCTTTCGGGCCCAGGACCCTGCACTTGCTCCAGGCTGAGGCAGAGTCTGTGGCTCGCCTAGAGCACCATACCTGGTGAAGTTCCACCCCCCGCGATGTATCATTCTCTGGATTAGGTGGAAAAGGAACTAATCCATTGATTATTTTACTAGGATATTTGTGGTACTGCTGGATCGTGGTTTTTATTATCCTATATCCCTCATAAAGCATGCTTAATGGATATGCCTCAAGGGAAAGAGAAAAGAATCTTAGCTGATTATGTTATGCGTAGTTCTCCCCGTGCCACATGCTCTAGGCTGGGTAGCCAGAGACCAGATAGACATGTGTTAACTACCGCTTTTACAGAGGACTCTGCTGAAGCCAGGGGGGAAAAAAAAATAAGAGAGAAAAAAACGTTGTTCTATGACATGCCAAAGCTATTAAGGATTTTTTTATTTCACTTTTGTTCTCTTAAGTAAAAGCTTCTGTCCATAACCGTACTAAAATAAAGCAAACCCCATGTAAAGAAAAATGAAGTGTGTTTTTATTTTCAATCTCCTGTCTGGGTCTTTATAAAAATAGATTCACTATAAACTAGAATCAGCTATTGAAGATGTGCGACCAATTTTGTAAAGTCTTGAACTTGTGTCTCTCATCAAAGCCACCTTTTCTTTCTTGTCCTGCCAAGATTTTTCCATTCACTGTCAGGCATGTTTTCCGTGCGTGTATATTACACCACCCCCATGTGCCCTTTCTGTCTTTTGTTCTGTCTAACTAGTTTTTATCAAAACTTAAAAGAAGCAAAGGTAGAGGTATAAACACCTATGATGTCAGAAGCACAATTTATGTGTAAATTTCAAAGTAGCATTAAAATGGTACATTTTGCATCTGGTTATTTTCTGTCATTAAACTGAATGGTTCCTGAGCCCCAAGCAACATGCCAAGGTGTATTTTGATTCCTTTTGAATTTCTCACTTTGCTTTCTCTGTATATATTTTAACATTTTTAAATTTACATTTCTGAGTGCCAGAGAAACTACAAATATATTGCTTCAGCGCCGCCAATCTTAACAGACTTTTTAAAAAGTTTTAGCTTACTGTGGACCCCAGATAGAACCCACGACATCCACACGCTGTAACAGCGTTCAAGTGCATGCAGCATTCCTATATAAGGTCATGCGTTAAAAATTGCATCTCAGGAACATATGGAGTAAATATGTGTCCTCCCTTTACTAACCTTAAATGATAAGCCTTAGGAAACTGTTATTTGTCAGTGCTATAAAGCAGATTGTTGCCCAGTGGTTTCAATTATCATCAAAGGATTCTTCACAGGCAGTAATAGTTACATCCAAACCTGAAATTTATTATTCAGGTTCTGCACTGAAGTCTTCACAGTGATTATGTTCCTTTCAACAGAATGCATTTTATGCTGACTTCTCACATTCCTTTTCATCTTTTTATTATTTTCCTAGAATGGCCACCAAGTTAATACGACTAGTTAATGACAAGAAACGATACGAACGGGTTGGTGGCGGCCCCAAGCGGCTGGGACGGGATGTAGAAATGGAAGAAATGATGGAACGTCTGCAAGAGAAAGTTCATGAGCTTGAAAGGCAAAATGAAGTCCTCAAAAACAGACTCATTTCAGCCAAACAGCAACTGCAAATCCAGAGTTCCAGACAAACTCCATACAGCTATATACAGTCTCGTATTAACACCGGGCGTAGAAAAGCAAATGAAAGTGCAGGTTTGCAAGAAAGCCCCAGGAAAGGTAAAACAACAACCCCAACCTTAAATCCTAAATTGAAGTTTTGTATTGTTGCATTCACAGAGTTTTATTTCTGCATTACCACTTTTTAATATTGTCCGAAAGACAAAGAAAAATAGCTTCTTGACTTGCTTTTTCTTTTTTGTCTTTTTTTTTTTTAATTATTATTGTATTCATTTGAAAAACAGAACTGCAGAGAGATACAGAGAAACAGATCTTCTGTGTTCTGGTTCATTCCCCACATGGTCAGAATGGCCACAACTGGGCCAAAGCCAAAAGCAGGAAGCAGGGCTTTGCTCTGGGTCTACCTCATGGGTGCAGCAAGCCAAGCTCCTGGGCTGTATTCCAGTGCTTTCCCAAGCACATTTACAGGGAGCTGGCTCAGAAGCAGAGCACCTTTCATAAAGGGTATTGGCATCCCAGGCAGTGACCGGTGGCTTAACCCTCGATGCCACGACACTGGCCTCAACTTGCTCTTTCTTAGAATCGTAATATTGTCATGACATCATTTTACTGAAGAGTCACCTGATCACTAGCGCTTATTTTAGCAAACCATTCAACACAGCTCTTCATCCTGACGTAAGAGACGTGTAAAAGGAAGTAAAACGTGTTACATTTGACTGACTTTTTTTTTTAATATTCCAAATACAAATCACATTGACTCAGGCAAGTACAGAAATGAACGAATTTTCTGATCACGCTATTTCAAGCATTCACTGGGAAATTCTTCGTTTAAAGATCTTTTACAAAGTTTGCACACGTCTTTTACAGTGTTTCAAGACAGTGGGATGTGCATATATCCAGGGATTTCAAAGGTTGAATTCTTGCTTCTGCACTTACTAACTGGTGTCCTCAGACAGATCTAATCATTCTGAGCTTCGGTTTTCTTTTCGCATAAAATGATAATGTTAACATAAATAACCCACAACGGTTCATCTCTAAAAATGGTCAAAGGTCAGATAGCGTAAAACATGTCCAGGTTGCAAAGCGATTCAATGGCGTAGACGACACTCAATGTAGCCCCTAAATATTTCTAATAAAAACTCTCAGTTTACCCTACAGTCAGGCAAAATTAATCACAACCGACCTAAAAGTAAAGATTTTAAGTAACGTTTCTTAATTTCAGTTGCTAGGGAAAGCAGTGAAGTTGTGGCTCTAACTGATTTTTCTTTGGAATAAACTCACATAAAAGACCCAACATTTTTAGATATATGAAAAAAAAAAATCCCGGAAAACGTTAGTTCTCATTCGGTGAAGAGGAAGAACAACACCGCAAGAACAGCAAGGGAGAAAAGTTTGTTTTCATTTTCCTCCAAAGCAAAATGTTCACACTATCTCTCCCGTACTTGGAATTGCTTTGAAGTCAGTAAGCCCTTCACAGAGGCAGGAGGCAGCTGTAGGCTGACAGCCGTGGCTGCTCCCCCCAGCTGGGTGCAATTCCGGAAACTCTGACTGTAACCAGAGAACGCATAACGAGTAATAAATCAGGCAGTACGCCCTGCCACTAATAAGCTGTCTGCCATAGAGAAGAGCACTTGACCTCTCGGCCTTGTTTTCCCCATCTGTAAAATGGAGTGATAATAATGCCAGACCAGGTCGGAGGTGAGGAGACAGTAGCTCTGCAGCAGGACATTCTAACTGGAAAATCGCTTCTGCTCTCCTGACCTTAGCTTGGCTAGCTAGGATTGTAACTAGGCAAAAGAGCATTCCAGATGTATGTGGCCTTTCTAGCTGCATAAACATGATGCCCAAATTTTATATTAAGATAGCAAGCTAATGTACAGTTCCTTGCTGTTTGAATAGAAGAGGCCAATGAAAGGTTTTCTCTATAGGAAAATGGCAAAACCATAGAACATCAGAATCTGTGAAACGTGGGGTTGCATAGCTTCCATTTCCCATCATGTTTGTACACACTTGTCCTGTGTTGTATGGAGTCCAGGACACTGACGTTACACAAAGCATTGATTAGTGATGTGGCCTACTGCCTTTCTTACTTGATTTTATTGTTGCTGTTATTTTCCATGAAACAGTTTTGTAGCTACAGGACTACTATCATTCTGAGTGCTCCTGAGCACAACTGACTTTTTATTGGAAAGTCAGATTTATAGAGAGTAGAGAGAGAGAAAGATCTTCCACCTGCTGGTTCACTCCCCAAGGGACCTCAGTGATCAGAGCTGAGCCCAAACCGAAGCCAGGAGCCAGGAGCTTCTTCTGGGTCTCCTATGAAGGTGCAGGGTCCCAAGGCTTTGGGCTGTCCTTGACTGCTTTTCTAGGCCACAAGCAGGGAGCTGGATGGGAAGTGGAGTAGTAGGGACATGAACCAGTGCCCATAGTGGATCCTAGTGCAGGCAAGGTGAGGACCTCAACTACTATGCTACCACGCCGGGCCCTGAAACTACATTTAAGGCAGGACTTGGGCTGAAGTTAATGAGCTCGTGAACATCCCAGGCCCTTTCTGACCACAAACAGCGTCCAGTTCACTTCTATAAATGTAAAGTGATTCATAATTCAAAATATGTGCTATTTTTAACACCGAGACTACCTATTTAAAGATTTGAAAAACAGAGAGAGAAAAGCTTCCCATTCACTGGTTTGCTCCACAAATGGAGACAGTAGCCAGCAGTAGAGCAGGCTGAGGTCAGGAGGTCGCACAGGTAGTGGAGGTCGGAGCCCTGGACCGTCACGGCCACCTTCCGAAGCACAGGAGCAGCAAGCTAGATCACCAACAGCGTAGCCAGAACTCGGCCCGCCACTCCACTATCAGATGCCATCATCCCAAGTGGCACCTTCACTCACCGTGCCACTTCGCCAGCCCTGCCAAGAGACCGTTCTCATAAAACTGCATATAACTCTTTTTGTTAAGATTTTGTGCATTTAAAAGCTTCCTTTATTTAGCTGAAGGAATTACAGAGAGGGAGAAAGATTTCCATCTACTGGTTCGCTGCCTAAGTGCTGCAACAGCCAGGCTGAGACAGGCTGAAGCCAGGAGCCGGCAGAGGTATCTAGTTCTGATTGGAAGCAGAGCAGTTGGGACAGAAACTGGCACCATATGGGATGCTGGCATCACATACTTTAGGTTAACCTACTACAATGCTAGTACCAAGAAAAATTATATTTTAAAAGTACTTGGGTAATGTTTTCTTTAAAAGTGTCCTACTAGACCTGGTGCAGTTGCCTAGTGGCTAAAGTCCTCGCCTAGCATGCACTGGGATCCCATATGGGTACTGGTTCATGTCCTGGCTGCTCCACTTTCCTGTCTAGCTCCCCACTGGTGACCTGGGAAGCAGTCGATGATGGCCCAAGGCCTTGGGACCCTGCACGCACCTGCACGGGAGACCCAGAAGAAGCCCTTGACTCCTGGCTTTGGATCGGCTCAGCTCTGGATGTTGTGGCCAGTTGAAGAGTGAATCAGGGTCCAGCGCGGTGGCACAGTGGTTAAAGTCCTCACCTTGCACGCCCGGGATCCCATATGGGCGCCAGTTCTATCCCAGCACCTCCACTTCCCATCCAGCTCCCTGCCTGTGGCCTGGGAAAGCAGTCGAGGACGGCCCAAGGCTTTGGGACCCTGCACCCGTGTGGGAGACCCGGAAGAGGCTCCTGGCTTCGGACTGGCATAGCATCGACTGTTGCACTCACTTGGGGAGTGAATCATCGGACGGAAGATCTTCCTCTCTGTCTCTCCTCCTCTCTGTATATCCGCCTTTCTAATAAAAAAATAATAAAAATAAATCTTTAAAAAAAAGAGTGAATCAGTGGGCAGAAGATCTTTTTCTCTCTCTCTCCTCTCTATAAATTGACTTTTTATTAAAAATAAATTTAAATTTTTAAAGACTTATTTTCTTTTCATTACAAAGTCAGATATACAGAGACAAGGAGAGGCAGAGGGGAAGATCTTCCGTCCGATGATTCACTCCCCAAGTGAGCGCAACGGGCCGATACTATGCCGATCCGAAGCCAGGAGCCTCTTCCGGGTCTCCCAAGCAGGTGCAGGGTCCCAAAGCTTTGGGCCGTCCTTGACTGCTTTCCCGGGCCACAGGCAGGGAGCTGGAAGGGAAGCGGGGCTGCCGGGATAGAACCGGCGCCCATATGGGATCCCGGGCGTGCAAGGCGAGGACCTTAACCACTGCGCCACTGCGCCGGGCCCGCTTACTGCTGCATTTTATGTAACGCCTGCAGATAGCTGGGATCTAATATTCCTTTTGGGCAGTATATTTCCAGTTCTCTCCACTATAGGACATACATCTATTAGTCCCTCATAAGAGATTTATTGTATTACAGGCTTCCCTTTAATAGCAAATCAAGGACCTTCCTTTCTAACTTCTCTAATCATACTCTATGACTTTACTCCTAGGTATAAGATTCCAAGATGCAGATGTAACAGGAACCATACCACCCATGCTTACAAAATATGACAGCAGTTTACTTGACGAAGCCAGAGGAGAAATAAGAAATTTGTATGTATTCTTTTTCATGGTCATTTTAGAACTTTGTTTATTGACGATTTGTTTTTAAAAAATCCTTTGTTTTTCTTTATCTTAAACAAAATTTAGTTATGTATAAATAATTTAGTCACCAAGATACAGTGAGTTTTGTGGAATGGTGACAAATAGGTATTATATAGCATGTTTTCAGTAAAATGAGGAAAATGAACTCGCTCATTTGCATCAGTGGAATGGTTGGTTGAGTGGTCCTCTTTCCTATCATTTTAACCACAAGGGAATAACCTAAAACCTTAGAGACAATATTTGCATCCCAGGAAGTCACTGGTAGTTTTTATCAGATCATCAGATGCTGAAACAATTAGCACTTGCAGTGGTTACCTCCCCCCAAAAAGGTGGTGGGGGGGGTGGGAATTAGAAGGAGTAGCTTAAAACTTTGGAGTTATCAAATACATACGGATTTCACATTTTGTTTCTTCATACTTCTGCTTTCCTACATTCTGCTACATATCACGGTTTCAAAAAAAAGTGACCCCAGCGACATTTAGCTGACCCTGCCAGTTCATCAAAGCCTCGTGTTTTCAGTGTCTGCGTCACACAAATGACTTGGCAGCCTCACTCTCTCCAAAGGCCTTCACCTGGATTAGCCAAAAGAAACACTACTCAGTGAGGAACAGGAACACCACCTGGCCACTACCCTACGTAGATAGTTGTGCAAAAATAGTACGTACTTAAAATGTCTCGTTTGGGATAGTTTAGATTACCAGTTAACTAATAATTAGCTTGTGAGAAAGTAAAGGATTAAACATAATCTTGTTACCTGGTAATAAACCTGAAAAGCCAGAATTCATTCCAGCTTCCTAAAGCTCTTTGCCCCAGGATGCTGCCAGACATGACAGAGATAAATGCATGCCAGAGACCACTGAGTTATGTTGGACAAATTTCCTGCCGTTTCTCTCTGAAGTGTTAATTTGGTTGATACAAGCAGATGTGCATACATATGAAAGAACAAAGACTTTGAAATTATCTGAGGACCAGATTGTGGAATACACAGTAGGTGATCAATAAATTCTTCCTTAATTGAATTGAATCAAAGTCCAGTCCATTGCCTGGGACATTGTCTTGTACAAAGCAGTGCCTTGAATTGTTCCATATGTGATTTTGAATCTTCACATGTGACATGTTCCAGTTTCCTATGTACAAGCTAATTAACCTAAAATTCTTGACTTTTCTTTGCTCTTTATTGTGAAGAACTTATTGTTCACTCATTTCAAGTACTGGAAATTTTCCTCAAATTACAGAGTCTTAAAAATGATTCTTTATTTCAGGGAAGATGTTATTCAGTCACAAAGAGGCCAGATAGAAGAGTTAGAACACTTGACTGAGATTCTGAAAACACAGTTGAGGAGAAAAGAAAATGAAATTGAGTTATCTCTTCTCCAGCTTCGAGAACAACAAGCTACAGATCAAAGGTATGTTAAAACAGAAATATCACTTGGATGAGGTCCAAATTAGTTTTAAAGTCTTTATCATGTGCCCCAAAAGGATGCATGTATCTGGTGTATTTGAAAACCTGGTGTAATTATAAGCCCTCTCTAGACATACTGACCGCTCTCAGCAACTCCAGTCCAAGAACAGTTTTCCCCAAACCTGCCCTGTTTAGTAGCAGCTTCTACTGGTTAGAAATCACCTCCAGTACGTGGCCTGTTATTTGTTCCCGTGGGCAAGAATGCAGAATGTTCTAAAACCGTTTAGTTGAGGCTCCCAAGAAAAATAGAGATGACATGGACTCAGCTATTGGCATACCACATACATGAGTCCAGCATTATTTTAAGTTTTTTTTTTCAGCTTTACAGGATAGTAAATTCCATATAACGTGGCACTAATTTGTGAACCCAAAAGGATGTAAGCTTTCTTAATAGTCTCCTACTAATATACTAGCGCCCCTACTATTGCTTAGCAGTCCTCTGGTTATTATTGTTGAACACAATGGTTCCCATCAGTGATGCTGCTGCCTTTTCATTCCTTAAGATTTATTTATTTATGATTTGAAAGGCAGAGTTACAGAGAGAGAGATCTTCCATTTACTGGTATAGCTCCCCAAATAGCTGCAAAGGCCAGGACTGAGCTGGTTCAAAGCTAGGAGCTCCTTCTGGTCTCCCACGTGGGCACAAGGGCCCAAGGATTTGGTCCATTTTTCACTGCTTTCTCAGGCACTGTACCAGGATGCTGGATCAGAAGTAGAGCTGCTAGGGCTCAAACCAGAGCCCATATGGGATGCCAGCACTGCAATTGGCTTACCAACTACTGGCCCCAATCACCTTTGACATTTTTTTTTAAATTTTTTATTTTAACAATCTTTACATGGTTAATTTGTGCATAAAGGGTCAAGGGCTACAGGAAAGTGGGTAAGACTATTATTTCCATATTGTTTCATTCATATATCTGAGGTAGAGGGGGATATTGAGGGAGAAGCCCCACCTGATTTCCCACCCACCCCAAGTCCCACATGTGGGGCATGCTCCGAGATACTCATTGAAGTGGTTTCAATAGGTCACCAGTTTTGAAATTGCTGCCAATCTTGCCTCTCCAAACACGGTGAGGTTGTTGAAAAATCCATTAATTGACATTGTCCATCATAGCATCTCTATTTGCCCAGTATTTTGTTGCTGAGGTGGTTGATTAACTTGTTCCATCTTCTGTCCCTTCATCACCTTTGACATTTTAAAATGTGGTATGTGCTCCTGCCCATTTTCTTTGTCATTTTTTTTGTTCCTGTGTTAGCTCATTCCATAGGTTCTTTTGCCGTTATTCTTTCCATAGAACTTTGCCTTTCTCCTATATTCTTTGTTGGATTATTTTCTTCTCTGTTGTGGCTCTTCTTCCTCCCTTTTGGTTTGTTCTACTTCTTCCTCCCATACCTAAAAGAGAGTAGCATCTTTCGCCTTAGTTCCAATATTTTGCCAATCAGATGTCCTCTCACCCTTGTTTTCTTCAACTAGTCCCAACCAGGAGTAGGTCATCTTACTCATAAACACTTCAGTATTTTGTTTTTATCTAACAAGAATGCATTTTCACATAGCTCCCATGCTATGATCCTATGTAACAAAAGTAATCATTTTTCGTAACTTCAGTAATCAGTTTATATTTAAACTTCTCTGGTACTGCCTTTCTACTATTCATTTGAATTGAATCCAAATATCAAGTACTAACTTGGGAGCCCTAGATGAACCAGACTCCTGGCTTTGCTTGGTAAGAGAACCAGCAGATAGAAGATGGATCTCTAGTGAAGGGTGTTTGACACAGCAATGAAGTCACTGCTTGGGATGCCTACATCCCATATTGGAGTGTCTAGCTCAAGTTCTCACTGCTCCAGTCATGACCCAGCTTCCTGCTGCATCCACTGCCTCAGGTATTGGCAGCACTACAACTCACACAGAAGACCTGGATGTTGATGGTGAGCCCCTCCCTCTTGGCATCAGCCTCACCCAACCTTGGCTCCTGTAAACATCTGGGGAGTAAACCAGTAGGAGGAAGTTTCTGTCGCCCCCTCTCCCTCTCTCTCTCTTTTCTTTCTCTCTGTAGGTGTGCACACACATGTGTGTCACTCTCTGCCTTTCAAACAAATGAAAACTTTAGCAATTGAAAAAATGAAGTAAGCTAAAGAAAGCATGAAAAAAAATCCTGGAGATTTATTTTTGTTGGAATGGCAGATTTTACAGAAAGAAGAGACAGAATGATCTCGCATACAGTGATTATTTAAAAGATAGAGTAGATTTGTATTGTGTCTAATAATTTCTCTTCCTAAAAGCCTATGTGTAAATTTAAGTTACATAAAAACAATCCTGTGTATCTTGTCACATTATATACCATTCTAAGTTCAAGGCAAAAGAAACATAAGTATTTGAGAGCTGTATTTAAATACAAGAATGTACTTTGAAATACGGCTTTAAACTATAAAAGTTATTCCATGTTCTCCTGTGAAGAAGGACTAATTTTGACTAAACTTTCTTGGAAACCCAAGAAGTGTTTACTTGTGAGGAACAGTGCTGAATGACAAGACCCCAACACTGAACATGGTGAGCTTGGAAAATTGCCGTTGGCTGCATTGAACACATTGTCTGCATATAAAAATTCACGTAGCTCGAACCCAAGTTGGGCCCATTCCCTTTAAGCTTTACTTAACCGTGAAGCACATGATTATCAAGGACTGCTTCACCTTCTTCATTTCTCAATTTCCCAAAGAGCAAGATGGAACTTTGTAGGCCATTCCTTTTACCCAAGGTCTAAGGTTATCCTGGAGCTAGACCACCATATTAACTGAAAAAGAAATCCAAACAATTTTAATCCTAAAAGTGTAACAGCAGCAGAAAAAAATTACAGGTGCATGCTTTTCTTTAAAAAAAAAAAAAAGATGTATTTTTTATTGGAAAATCAGGAGGAAAAGAGAGAGAGAAAGCCTTCCATTTGCTGGTTCACTCCCCATGTAGCCTCAACAGCCAAAGTTGAGCCAGTCCAAAGCCAGGAGCAGGGAACCTCTTCTGGGTCTCCTGTGAGGATACAGGGTGTCAAGGCTTTGGGCCATCCTCGACTGCTTTTCCAGACCACAAACAGGGAGCTAAAAGGGAAGTGGAGTAGCTGGGACAACAACTGCTACCCATATGGGATCCCAGTGCATACAGGGTGAGGACTTTAACCACCAAGCTACCTTGGCAAGCCCAACACACACTTTTCTTACTACAAATATTTCCAGCAAAAATAAAACAAACAAACATATATACTTGGAAAAATTCACCTTAATGAATTGCTCAAACAAGTACATTCTTTGACACTAGCCCTTAAGTTGCCACTTGGGACATGTGGATCTCAGAGTGTTGGGTTCAAGCCCTGGCTCCACTTGTGGTACAGCTTCTAGGTGAGGCACTTGCTGGAAAACAGCAGGCAGTGGCTCAACTTCCTGAGTGAGTCCCTGGCACTCACACAACATAGCCTGATGGAGCTCTGCAGTCCTGGTTTCAGTCTGGCCTTCCAGTGGGTATTGTGGACGTTGAGAAAGGAACCAGTAGGTGGAAGATTGCTCTCTCTCTCCAATGAAACAACAGTAAATAAGTAAATAAATAAATAAATAAAATTTTTACAACTAGGTTGAGTTGTGGTCATTTTATAAAGCATAGGCCAAAATTGACCCCCCCCCCCCAAATAGTCCAAAGAAATCAAAGCATTCCTACCCTGGCTTATAAATTAGAAATTGCGTATGTTATTTGTTTATAACAAAGGATACCTGTATTGGATAATATATTGTTTGTTGAAAATAGAGACGTAACTCAAAATAAGAATGTTCAAGGCTTTTTATTTTTAATATGTTTACATGAGCTCAAAGTTTTATGTGTAAGAGCAGGTTTTTTTTTTTGAGACTAATGGAAAACTGTTGAAAAAAAACGTTGGGCAGAATATAAAACTTGGTATAATTTACTGTAGAGAAAAATTGCAAAATGGAAAGCATATTTAAAGTTCTCCTTCAGGGATACATTATTTCAGATTTGAAATCCTAGAAGTCTGATCTGGATGTTGGTCCCCTTGTCCTCAAGCATGAACCTACCATAGTTGTAATCTTCGGAGTGGCAGGGCTTGATATTTATGGCAGAGAGCCTTTTCATAGAATATTACAGAAACTCTTCGGAGTATGTGTTTAATAGACCAGTTTGGTTTGGCATCAGCTTGACATAAACTTTTGGTTATCCAAAGCCCTTAATTGCTTTGAAGTAAAAGCCCAGTGCTGTTCTTTTTTATTAAAATCATGTTTTTTCCTGTTGTTGTGGTCTATTTTGGAAGACTGAGTTGTGATTTTTGCATATGTTCTACATAATGCCTCATTAGCAAAAAATCTTGTATCATTTACAAGTAGCCTGAATGTCTGTGTTGTTTTGAACAAAAATCCATATTAAAATTTAAACAATATAAAAATGCACATTTTCTGCTTATTAAAAAGGCTGTCTTAAATTAAATGCAAGGCACTAACCAGTGAACACATGTACATGAACATTAAAATTAGAATCATTTTACCTTTTATTGACTTTTTCAATTCCGAAAATATTTATCCTCTTACCCAAATGTGTAGCTAGTTTGTACTAAGTGTTTTCTTCTTTTAAAATAAATGTTAGGGTGTTTACCTTCTTAATTAAAAATCATGTAAGTGCCATAATGTCCCAGTGGAGGAAATTTAATCCATAAATAATTCAGACACTCTGGCTTGCCCTCTTCCCTTCGGTGTACAGGGGACTGTCAACTCCTAGAGCAGCAAGGCCTTTGCAGCCATGCGTTTCTAAGAACCAGCTTGCCTTTGGGGGCTCACACTCTCCCCTCTGCACAGATACAGGATTCCATCCAAACGCTCCAAGTTCTTCCCCTGCTTCTCATCTTAAGAGACTGCAAACCTACAGAAAGCCGAAAGTAACAGAATGAGCTCTCCATT